CCTCAGAGTATGGCCAATCCATCTCCATTTCTTCCCGCTTATTTGTTTCACAATCGGTTCTTGGTTGGTTCGCACCCAGAAATCTCTGTTGCTGATCTTTTCTGGCTGGCCATCTGATCTTGAGTAGTATTGACCGAAGACAACTGTTAATGAAGGTCTGTAGTTTGTTTGAGATGCTCTTTATGACGCGCAGTGCAAGTCTCTGATCCGTATAGTAGCACTGACTTCACATTGCAGTTGAAAATCCGGATCTTATTTTTGATGCTGAGTGCTGTTGACCTCCACACAGACATGAGAGTAATGAAAGCTTGTCTTGCTTTTCCGATTCTTGCTTTGATATCCTCGTCAGTTCCGCCTGTAGTTGAAACGATGCTTCCCAGGTAGGTAAAAGAGGTTGTTTCTTTCAGGTTTCTCCCATTTATGCTGATCGTTGTCTGGTGTTGTTGTTCCTGTTGGTGTTGCCCAGAAATCTTCATCACCTCTGTTTTCTCTATGTTCACCTGAAGTCCCATCTTCTCCGGATGCTTCTTCTGCTAATTTGTTGCTTTTCGCTTGCATATCTTCCAGTTTGTGGGAAATCAGACATATATCATTGGCGAAGTCCTGATCCTCCAAGTATTTTGTGTGAGCCCATTTTATGCCTGTTTCCTCGTTACCCAGCCTGCTGTTTGTCGCATTGTCCGGTCCACTGCAATCAGGAAAATCATTGGCGATAGTAGGCAGCCAGCTTGTCTTACTCCTGTCTTCACTTTGAAGGGTTCCGTAAGTTTCCCGTTGTGGATTACTTGGCATGCAGCATTGTCGTACAGCTGTTGGATGAGATGTATAATTGTCGGTGGCACCCCATAGTAGCGAAGTAGTTGCCAAATCACCTCTCTATCGACGCTGTCAAAGGCCTTTTCAAAGTCGATGAAGTTGAGATAGAGAGGTGACTGCCATTCCAAGATTTGTTCGATGATGATCCGTAATGTGGCGATTTGATCAATGCATGACTTGTTTCTCCTGAATCCAGCCTGTTCCGGTCGAAGTTTTCCATCCAGGGCATGTTTGATTCTCTCCAGGATGATGCGGCTTAGTATTTTGCTTGGGATGGAAAGGAGCATAATTCCGCGCCAGTTCTTGCATTGACTTAAGTCTCCTTTCTTTGGCAGTTTGAATAAGTATCCTTTCTTCCAATCCTTGCCTTCTTTCCACACCTTCTCCAGTAGTGGCGTCATCAAGTCCGCTGTTGTCTCTAGGTCCACTTTCAATGCTTCTGCTGGGATTCCATCTGGTCCTGCTGCTTTTCCAGCTTTTAGCATCTTGATTGCCTTCAGGACTTCTGATTTCGTCGAGGAGTTGGTGTTCACTAGTAGCTCTGTCTCCGTTGTTGGTACTGTTGGGAGCGTTGTCGGTGGTGGTCGATTTAGGAGTCTTTTGAAGTGTTCAGCCCAGTGTTTCCTTTGCTCCACTTCTTTGGTGATTGACTTTCCATTGTCATCCTTCACCGGCTTGATTTGTGTCAAACGTTTGCCCGATAGGTACCTAGTTGTTTGGTAGAGTGTTGCGAGGTCTCCTTTGCCTGCTGCTTGTTCTGCTGCCCTAGTCATGGTTTCATAATATTTTCTTTTGTCTTCCCTGGCTCTCTTCTTTACTCTTTTGTTCAGTATCTTGTAGCTAGCATTCAAATCCTGTTTTTGTTGCTCGTCGGTGCACTGGATAATCTTTTGTTTCACCATCCCTCTCTCTTCTATGAGTCTCCAAGTGTCCGTATTGAGCCAGTGTTTGTCCTGTCTCATATTTCTGTCCAGAACTTCCATGCAAGTTTGACTCCACACCGCTTTCAGGTTGTCCCAGTGCTTCTCAACGCTGACCTCTTCGCTAGCGTTGATTTGTGTCTCGACCTTGTCCTTTATGTCGTGGTCCTTCAGTTTTTGAGTGTTGAACTTGGCTTGTGGTCTATGTGCAGCTCCTGTTTCGTTGAAAGCTTTTAATTTGATTTGGATTGTCGCTTTTCTAAGCGAATAGTTTATTGATAAACAGTGTGGTTCCGCAAACCGATTCTTTTGATGTTAACTGTATATTTATCTTCAGTGTGTAGTACATGCTTATTAGAACCAATGGCAGAGGATTTGACAATTCCGCGTTAACTGAAGAAGTTAGCGAAGTCTTAGGTGGGAGATGGAAATATTCAGCACTGCCGACTGTCTTCCATCTAGAATCATCTTGAACGTAAGAGAAGGAAAGTTGCCCTTGAGTGATTGTCACTGTTATTCATACATTCACGAAGGCTCGACAAACCGTTTCAGCAGTAGTAGCAGACAGATAAATGGTTTTTGACCAACAGGTGAAACGATCTGTGCATGTAGCCATTTAAATTTGGAGGTGGACCAATGATGTTCAAGCCAGCGTGAGGCACACATCTGGTGTAGTTGAAAGTTCAACTATTGATTGGCTCATACCAATCATTTAGCCGCCCTTGGGGGAACATGACATCATGATATCAAAAATTTGAGACTCCGTTCAAGAGTCAAGTAGGCTATATAGGACAGGAAACTAAATCCTGAATCAAGAAGGCTTTAAATAAAGCGGCACGACATAGGTTCATGTGGCCACGTGGTTTCTGTCGGTTTGAAAATCCCAGTGTGTTAGGGAGGGGGAAGAAATATTACCAGTCGCTTCATCCATATGTATAACCAGTGATATATTACTTTGACTAATGACTGCGCAAGACGTGTGAAACCAGAGTTGATGCAATCCTGGGGTTTGGTCAGCTGATAGTTGCGGCACTTGTGGGCCTTCAGTTGCTTAGCAAGCTAGAAGCTTACTCCGACAGGGACGACGCCACACCCAAAGAGACTGTATTCAGTCATTTACTGAATTTCAGTGTTGACCGATTAGTTAAACGATGAAGTTTTGCATGATTTTCCGTGAGCCTTCAGAGCTGCACTTTTATTATCTTCTGTAAACGGCGGGAGGCAAGATTACCACCCCCTCGATAACGCCATCCGATACGATAAGCTAAAACTGCTTGCAGGGGCGCCTGTTATTTCAAACTCAATAAAAAGCAAGGAAGAATCTCAGCAGTGCAGGAAGGTGAATGTAACCTTGGTGGTCAGTGGTGCTAATTCAACAGAGTCTTCACCCAGAGGTTGTTGAGAGATTTTTCTTCAGTACCAGTATCAGCAATGTATGGCATGGTACGCATTCGCTCCAATGGTTTTCATTTTCATACCGTCTATAAAGCAGCGTAAGACACTTGAAAGAATGAAACAGCCACTCCTGTTCCCCGCACAACTCTATTAATTATCTGTTAAATTTATTGAACATACTTTTCTCGTTGGTTTTCTTCATCTTACCATTTATTATTATTATTGTTCCCTTGGGTTCCTATTGGAACATAGAGCTTCAACTGCACGTCTCCACTTGCTTCTGTCTTCTGATGTACTTTTCACTTGAATCCATGTTAATCCATACTGTTTCAGTTCCTGTTCACACGATCTCCTCCATGTCACCCTTGGACGTCCCACTCGCCGCTTCCCTTTCGGGTTCCACTCGAGCGTTGGCCTGACGCGCGATGTCACCCAACAGCCTCCTCAGTGAATGTGCAATCCATCTCCACTTTCTCCTGCATATTTTTTGGGCGATTGGTTCTTGTTTTGTTTGTTCCCATAGCTTCTTGTTGGTGATTCTTTCCGGCCATCTGATCTTCAGTATAGAACGAAGTCAGCTGTTGATAAAGGTCTGCAACCTGTTTGAAATATTCTTGGTGACCCGCCAAGTTTCTGATCCGTATAGAAGAACTGACTGACTTGACGTTTGTATTGAAAATCCGAATTTTGTTGTTGATGCTGAGTGACGAAGATTTCCAGATTGGTTTCATGTTGATGAATGTGTTTCTCGCCTTTCCCATTCTCGATTTGACATCTTCGTCCGTTCCTCCTGTAGTTGAGACAATGCTCCCTAGATAAGTGAATGAAGTAACCTCTTTCAAATCCCTCCCGTTGATGGTGATTGGCGCTGGATGTTGCTGATGCTGTTGTTGTTGTTGGTTGGTTATTTTCATAACCTCCGTCTTGTCTATGTTCACCTGGAGTCCTGTCTTTGCTGCTTCTTCGACCAGTTTGTCGGTTTTCGCTTGTAAGTCTTCGATTTTGTGTGCCATCAAACAAAAGTCATTGGCGAAATGCAGGTCTTCTAGGTTCTTCAGGTCGGTCCAGGATATCCCTGCTTTCTCGTTTCCCACTGTCTGACGCATAATCCAGTCCACCACAATTAGGAATATCATTGGTGATAATAAGCACCCTTGTCTGACTCCTGTGTTCACTCCAAACGCTCCGCTGAGTTTTCCGTTGTGGCTTCATCTTACCAGCTTCAAATAAATTTTGTTATCTAATGAAATTTTTACGGCCACACCAAATGAAAAATCGACCTTGTTTCAAAACATTGTTTCCTAACTCTCACTTCATTATTTGTCACGGTTCATCTCACAGTAATTTTAATATGAAACAGGGTTCGAAGCCCTCAGTGGATTGTGCTGAACGAACTTCAGACCCTTTCATCACTCTGTCAGTTTACAGAATAAGCTATCAAAATCACGTCTCCCAATTTTGTGCCATTGATTGACTAATTCGGTCAGTTATTATCTGAGTGAAACCTAACAAATTTTTGAAAGTATGTAAGGGTCTGTTATGCTATTCGATTCGGTTCATTCATAATGTTATGCAAACCACTTTTACCATGGTGTTCTTAATCTGTCTGGTGTATTATTTGGGGAAACATGCTAAATGCTATTACCTTGCTGTGAACCACATATTTCCTCGCCTTACGGCATTTAAAAGAGCCAAATCATTCGGGAATATAGCTATCACACTGGGAATCCACGATGGTCAAATACCTTTTAAAATACTGAGAAACTACTGACAAAAACCGAAAAGGCTTACACAAGATTGAAACAAAATTATTTAAGATCGATATTTTAGTTGAAAATGAATTTCCTAAAATTATCAGAACTATTGAGCACTGAATGGAAATTGTTTGCATTATTGGTTTTTGTCCAGCGGTAGTTACAGTTGAACTCGTGTCAGCATGAGCTTCCAGAGAAAGGTAATTGTTGGGAGGTATAAAGAGTTTGTCTTCACAGGCTATCATCATAGATGCACAGGGTCACTTGCTTGGTCGTCTTGCTGCTGTAGTGGCAAAGACTTTGCTACAAGGGCAAAAGGTTGTTGTGGTGAGATGCGAGAATATCAATATATCTGGCTCGTTCTATCGCAATAAGTGTAAGTTCTATATCTCCTAAATTCAGTATCCAGTGAAATATCTCGATTTTTTGAAAAAGAGGATGAATACTAATCCATCTAGAGGACCTTATCACTTCAGGGCACCTGCTAAGATTTTTTGGCGTACAGTTCGTGGAATGCTCCCACATAAACTGCATCGTGGGAAACTGGCACTTGACAGGTTGAAGGTTTTCGAGGGTATTCCTCCCCCATACGACAAGAAGAAACGAATGGTGGTTCCTTCGGCCTTACGAGTAATACGACTGAAACCAGGTCGCAAGGTAAGTAAAATAGACAAATTAACCTTTGTCACAGTTTTGTGTGTTGTCGCGATTATCAAATGACGTTGGGTGGAAATACAAGAATATTATTGAAAAAATGGAGAACCGCCGAAAGGCTAAAGCTGCAGTTTGGTACAAGAAGCAGAAGCTGATTACGAAGCCTACAGAAGCAGCTAGAGGACGAGCAAAAGAAGCCATTGCCCCCTATCAAGCCATTCTGAAGCAGTACGGATATTCATAGTCAAATGCATTTTATGGTGATTAAATTGTTGTAGTTGGATATTTTCACTTATTTGTAAGAATGATGGCTGGTCAAAAGAGCTCAACATGTTTTTGGGTTAGATGGCGAACCTTAGTAATCAGATAGTGTCAAACGTCGACGGGAAAGGACTTATCTCTAAATAGTGTTGACAAAGTGTGGAACAACAGACATTTGCTTTAGTCGATTCTCCACGTAAATAATATTCCGTTTTATTGTTGATTAAGTGGATTGGAGTTTGGATTCTTGTTATAATGTTACTCCTCTCATCTAACCACAATTTGTATTCTTTAGTGTATTGCCTACGTAAGAACGGAGTTTGATAGGGGAGCTTTGAATCTCTGATTGTAATTTTGACTGATAACACGAGGAATCCGATGCTTAAGAGGTCACATGGTGTAGCAAAATCATGTAACCATATTGTTAGGCAACTTTGGCATGCTTGATTAGTGGAAGTTAGCGCAACAAGTAACCAAAAACAGTTGTTTACTAAAGAAGTAGAATAACTTTCCACATTTCTTTTGATTCATTCTCTTATATCCGCAGCTGAATTAAAACCTGGCAATTGGCTTATAGGTCATATTCGTTTTTTAAAATGTACACCTGTTAAAAATCGTAGAAACTCATGGCGTGAATGACGATTAAACCGTTTATACTTTTATCAATAACGAAGTAGGATTGTTGGCGTAAGTTACGCGTCCCGATCTATACATCCTCTAATTCAGTGGATATCTTCGCCATTTTCCCCCAGCAATTCTCTAAGCTCGATAACCATAAGCTGCGCTAATTGCGGTCAAAAAACACGGGAATGCAGTTTTATATTTTGTCCTTATTGTGAAAATGACGCTACGAACAGTTTCTATCATATACAAGACAGCTCCGGTCATACAAATCCTGCAACTAGTTGTCTGTCCCTGTTTAATCTGCGTAGTCTTTAGTTTGACTAGCGTAAGCGGGTGATTAGGATAAGTCAGTTGGTTGCTGTATAATGCATGCTTGATAAGCCTAGCCTACAATTCTAGAAATAATGCGGCAACCACTTGTGGCTGACACACCTAGAAGCTTGCTGGTTAGTTTCACTGGTAAATAATTGTTTTTGTAAGCGTTTGTGTACCATTTATGTCTCAGCATCTATTTCAGAAATTTCGCGCTTTGGAATGTTGCTTTTTTATCTCGCGTAATATATAACGTAATCGTCGGGATTGTCTACGGTTGGATTTCTACTATTTTAGGTTTGGTAGTCATTCCCTCAAAGATTGCTAGATGTTTCAGACTTGAATTTGATGATATTATGCAGTCACGAGCGTCTTTTATTCATTGGCTGAGATATCACTTCAAATAATGGACGTTAAACTAATGCGTTGACCGAAGCACGTACCGCCCGCGTCAATACTGCAGGAATCAATGTGCCGTTGTAATCGTTAGTGGATAATGGAAATAAGGAATAACAGTTGTTGGTTGCTTGTATATCTGCCTAAGCCGTAAATGTATTATTTCTTGTATACCGTCAAAGACAACCAAGACTGACTAGTGTAAACCAGGCAATAATTTGGAAATCAACCGCAGACAATCTGCATTGTCCTCGGTTCATCTTAACTACCTGTGCGGAGTTAACTGCGGTAGTAATTTTATTAGTATGTTTCCGACTAGATGAATTTTTGTGATTTTATCTGTTTACTTTTGGTTTAGTTTGTTATGCACTTTCTTAGGAACTAGTGTTATTGTGCCCTGATTATATCAGAATGAAGTTTTATTTTTTGGCTGTTTCACTGATTTTAAAATCGACTGTGATATAGCATTCGGATTTGTTATAGTGTTAAGTGTACTCTTGGAACTGAGGTTGGCATGTGTTGCTGCGATTGGTAAACGTTAGCTAACTATTACTCAGAAATGGGAATATGCACTGACTGCACCAAATGAAACAAACATTTTGGAGTGTAGTCTACTGTGACTCGGTATATCATGATGCAATGATCGTGTTTAAGCTATGCAACTAATTTGAATATAACATTTGTATTTCGAAAGAAGTTACCGTGATTGTAGATTCCACATACCATAGTATAACTTTAAATTCAATGCTTATAAACCGACTGTATTAATAAATTAAAGGTAACTCAAGGTGTTTCAACTCATCAGTAAACTAAAAGCAATATTAGCAGTGTATCGTTACTGCTAAGTGTCACAGAACTGAGATAAAACATGAATTATATCTTTCAGTTTTCGTTATTTAATTAGACGGCATGCACTCCCTCCTTGGTAGCAACAATAAGAAGCATTGAATCAAAGCAACCTGAAAAAAATAATAGTTTGTTACATTAGTTGAGTTGTTCATCTTGCTCTTTTCAAAATATTAGTGTTTTATGAAAAAATTACCTTATGTTTGCACTCAAAGCTTTGTCATAGAGGAATGATAAAAAAACTTGTGTAAATAACTAGAGGCCAAAGGTAGATAACTGAAGACAGTTCGATACTTAGTTCTTTCTGGAGTAGTTGAATAACTTTCAAACTATTTTGACAAGTGTCAAAAGTGTAATTATTCCCGGTGAACTTAGGTGTTATGCAGCGATTGCATATTTGTAACAGTTTGTTTAAATGTGGATTATACATACTGTTCACAATGTTATTCTATGTGTTATTAAAAGTAATGAAACTGATAAGCATATTAGTGGGCATGTATGTATTTGGTTGAAACTCACACCATATTCCTTACTAGTGTAGCATAGTTAGTCAAACGTTCTCTTGTATACTGGGAAATGTAAACACAAAGTGTTTGTTGGCAAGATGAAGCTAGTTATTTAAGCAACAACTCACCTGTCAACAGTCTTCTGTTCCTGTTTCGTTGTCACACTGCAGGATGTCAGAGTAATCATTCTGTTGCCATAAGTGTCTAGTGGATTGTCAACTTTTGAATGGATTGTTATAAATGGGAAAAGTACACTAGTCAAGCGTGCGTACATAAGAAAGTTCATGTCCATTATTCGAATATCTCAATGTTCACATAAATTATTAAGATCGTTCAAGTGATGTATTGCAGTGAGCAAACAAATTTGTCGGCTGCTGCTTTCACTTCTAAGTAGTTCTTTTCAAATTGTTAACTATATGTGGTTAAGAAAAGTCCGTTGACTAAAATTACTTCATACAGTAAATATCCCTTATACGTTGCATTTAGTCAAAAAAGGTCGTCTACCTCTGTAGAAGATCATTATTTTGGACCTTCGTTAGTTCCGATGAATATCGTAGGAGTCATATTTAACAGTTTGCATACTGCAATTTGTATTAATAAAGGAGGTTCGGATTATATCATGAGAATGCGATCACTTATTCTACTAGTGGAATGTTTGAGATTACATACCAGAGCTCAGAAGACACCAAATAATTTGCTTAGTACTTTCCCCCAACACTCAGTCTTGTATTGAATTTAAGAAGGGATTACTCAAGTTTACTGCAATATTAAAATAGAATGAAGGGTAAAATTGGACACTTTCGCTTAAGCGTCATACAAAGCAATAGAACTAAGTAATTTTTATGTGAAAGGTTGAATAATTCCCACTGAATGCAAAAACATTTATTCAAAGCCAGAGACTACCAAATGGTAGTAACCAATGTTGAATACTTCTGCTATTCTCACAAGAACGCAATAGTAAGTATACACTTTTACTCAGGTCCAATAAATGGCCTAAGACAGTCCGTCTATTATTAAATAAATCTCTTAAAAGCACCCTAGGAAAGACTCTACATTAAGAAACAGTGAGCACGGAAAACTTCGAAACAGGTCATTCGAGAAAGCTATACAAAAGACTGATGACTTAACACAGAAAATCTCACTTTTAACTCTCATACAGTTTATGGAATGTACAATTCTTTCAGATTATAACTGATCTTAAAGTTTGGTCTGACTTACAAATTTTGATATTCACAAACTGAAAAATGCTAAAATGATCGCACCAATTGGGTATCTGTAACAATTTCAAGATTTTGGCATATAAATCTTCGTTACCGAAAACCTCAGCATAATCTAAGTTGGCTCATAGGTGGATTAGGAAGGTTAGGAAGTATTATTCATTTTCAGCCGTCGAGTTTTTCAAAGGAGTAGTAAATGGTACATAAGGAACACTTGGATATTTTTTGAATTGATTAGAAGCGCTCATTATAATTTTCAGAAGATTGACTAGTGAACAAGGAATATTCCTTCCGACAACTTCATCAGGTCCTACAGTCAGATGTCGATAGTAGTGTAAGAATTCTTGTTACATAGATGCTTTCAGCAACATTGAATTAATAAGATTACAGTTTAAGATATGAATGCGATAATATTCATAAGTATAATACTACACTTACCATATAGATTTAGAATAATAATACAGAGTCTATGAATTTATAGGTTCCACAGCAGGTTAGGATAGCAATATTGACTGGATCGTTTTCCTCTGCATTCAGAGCTCCGGGTATTTTGAGCAAATTGCAATAGCTTCTGCTATTTGAAGTACCTGGTATCTATGTCTCTTCTGCAGTTTATTCAGTACCCGATTGATGATAGGGAAAGATTCTTCAACACTGACATTATGGCTTGTTTGTACCAAATGATCTAATACCGAACTGTTTTCGGGAACAACTATCAGAGTGGTTGAATAAAGATGTAGTAATGACCATAAGCATTTAGATACTAGAACACCCGTTTTAAACAGACCATAAGGACATAGAGTCTATGGCGTGCCAAACAGACTGACTAAAGCCACTAGGTACTGTGTACTCCAGTATGGCAGAAGACAGCAATTCGTTTAAAGCAGCTGAGACTTTGTGTACAGAAGATACAAGTGTCCAGCCAGTATTGCTAAACTGGCCTGTTGAAGGATCTATGAATTCATAAATACCATATTACAACGTACATTTCAGGTAAATATGTTTTGGACTGTGATCTATTGGTCTAAATGACTTGGTGTTATTTAAAAAACGTTAGTGTTGTCAACAGCGATTACTGTTTAACTGTCTGGGATATGTACCTGTGGGAAGTTATGAAAAAGTTTTCCAGAAAAATATTCCTTGTTCACTAATCAGTCTTTTAATGGAGTATCTCTTTTAAGACTAGGAGTGAATCATGCCTTTGATTATACGAGAAAGTATGTAAACATTATCTCCTGCTTCCCATTATTAGCTATTATGCAGCACAATATTTCATACATTCAGAAATGTGTATTCACGATCAAATTCTCAAATGGGACATAAAAGTCGCAGTTACCTAGACTTATATGTAAACAGTGGAAGATTAGAGGAAATGGTTTGTAAAGAAATCTATCGTACAATCTTGCATACTGTCCAACATTTGAACGACTAGTCTAGGATTATTTAATTTCATCCTTACAGATTAAAGACAAATGACCCCTATTTACTGATCAATCATATTTCTTAAGCTTAAGTTATATTTCATGGAAAACAGGCAAATTGATATTTAAGTC